TTTGGTCATAGGGGAGCCAATCCCATCAAACACACAGCAAAACCTTCCTAGCCATCAATCCGGTCTTGGCCACCATCTGGACCGCTTCCCCGAGCTTTGACCACGACCGTTTGCGCTCGATGTTGTCGTAAGTGACCCATTTTTCATCGCCAGTCACAATCCGCTTCAGAAACGGGTCGATTTTGGTGCCATTCAGCAGCAATTCGCAGCTGGAAATTCGGTCCATCATGTTTTTTTGCGTTAGTTCATGTGGCACCTAAACATCGAGCTTCGTTTTGAATCCAAGGTTATTCAAATGGTTCCAAACGGTTTTCTGGCTTATCTTTAGTTCCTCAGCAATTAAATAAGTGAAAGAGTTACCGGAAACCTAGCAAACCACTTTTGTGCTACACGTTCGTTTACAGTAACGGGCCCATAAACTAAATTAATTTTTTCAGCCGCTTTGGCTGCTTTTTCGCTTTGATCGAAGAAAAATTGTAAAATATAGCGAATTTTCTCTTTGCTGGTGTCCATCTTTGACGAGCGCTCACAACGTACTGAGTCAATCAATCGAACAACTGTCAAAGACAAACTTTTAGCGCGAATAAACACGTTTTCAGTGCGGCATGATGCGACACGTAGCACTAGTACTATGGACAATAACGCTATCTCTTAGATAAAAACCGAACCGAACTTGACCTAATATTATATAAGTATGTATAGTAGGTATATAGTATAACTAGAAATCGAATCTGTAAATGAATGCAATGAACTCAACTTTAACATGTACATAAGTATGTATGTATGTACGAGAATGTGTATGTAGTACTAGAGCAAATGCGCATATTGCTAGCAAACCCTACGCTTTATAAAGTGCAAAACGCGCTTTGATTATTGTCAGTGTTATGGATGCAAAAAGCTTTCCGCTTCAGTAAGCGATCAATATAACATGAATCTGATTACACTCTATATATGTATGTACATCATCCCTGATAACCATAATTTACTTTACAAAATAAAAGACATTATGAGAAAGAGCCGCTATAAAATAGCAAAGGACCACGACAAAAAGTGAAAATGAGAAACCTAAAATAAAAATAAAACAAGCAGTTACCAAAATCTGCTGAGGCAGTACAAACACCTGTCATACTTTAATACAAAACTCACCGTACTTTGGCTACCGCTTAGTTAACGGTAGGGGAAAAGTACTGGTAATCATTGTTCCACCAGTTTCTTGCTTGTAATGTGCGATTTGCTCGTTGTTGAATGTTTGACCTTTGTCGTGCCCTAATGGACGCCATCGTACAATTGAAAGCAACGAAAAATGGCTGTGAAAGTGAAAATAGTTTCGAAGGCACTCTACCACTCGTATAGGTATATGTACACACATATGAGATATGTAACTCTCTTAATACATATACAATAGTAGTATAATCCGTAAATATTAGATTTTTTTTTGTACACTCTTGCAACATGTTGCATAGGCTAAGTATTTACTACAATCTTTGGCCTAACAATGAAATAACGTTTTGAGAGATAATAAGACTTTATTATTGATATATTTAATCCACATCTAGAGTAATACATTTAATGTAACGGTTATCTTCCATTTCGATACAGGATAGTATGACGCTTCGTGGTCTTCAAAATACAAACACCTATTTGAAGTTTTAATGTCTTCAATTTATTGGTATAGGACACAGATATAATGTTAGGTATATCAAGATCATCAGAATGATTTCACAATGTTTGTCTGTTCGTCCAACTTAAGTGATATTGATATTACATAAGGAATAAATCTGTGGATATTGATATTACATAAGAAATTCTAAAGTCTGTAATCAATCCAACATTCTTTTTTTTGTGAAAAAGGGGAACCGTTTACTAGCAACCAATCGGATGAAAATCAATACTTTGGATATAAGGAGGGAAAGTAAAATAATATGTTCACTGAAATATCACATATGTTACCGTTATTGTTCCCCATTTTTACTGATATTCTCGATATAAATTCATCCACGGAATCGGAAATCATCATATAGTGTATCAGGAAATAGTCCAATATCAAGTATTTTTAGATGATATATGGCAACATTAGAGGTACTATTTCGGCTTGGGTTTATTTCGACATATTTATTGATGTCTCATTTATCTATTGCAAAGTGAAAAGGTCTGATGGATTTTAAAATGATATGGCATGTCTCATATATTGGCAATGTTGAAACCTGTTATTGAAAGTGCGGTGGTATAGTGGAAATAAGGTAAATTCGACTACGGACACGATGATTAGGTCAAGAACTTAGCAATAGTCGTGACTGCGTTCACTTTTAGCATAAATCATAAAATCCAACAACCACTCGATCAATTTTCACCCAACTTGGTTTCTAATATATGACTGCTACCTTTTCTCACACTTTTCATAGAATGACATTAGCCTCTTCAACATATGGCTCAGGTACCAATGAAAATATTGAAATAGAATTTAACAAAAATAGTGCTCCAAACATGAAGAACTATGATCCAAAAGGAATCGCAATCGGTCAAAACCTTAGACCCTAGACTCTACGCCGAATAGAAGCGAATTATATCGATTAACATTTCTTCGGCTAATTTAACATCTGAAATATATTAATAAAACTAGATACGAGTATGTGAGTATAATTAAGAAATCACATTCTGAGGTTTGGTACTAAAAGTGGATAAAATCGGTGCACATTTTCCTTTATACCCCACTACCCAAATATATTAACTTCTGTCAAAATACTTGATTAAATATTGCGTGATTTTGGTGAAACTAAGGCAGCAGCTTAACTAATGCGAGGGCTAATGGCATCTCTACTCTCAACTGGTTGACAATTTTGATTTACACGAAGAAAATAATTTTAAACGAAATATTTCTTTCAGATACCCAAAATATGTCACATACCTGCAATTCATAGAAATTGCGAGAGTATCTATTGTTATGCGAAACTAAGCTAAATTACTGCACAAGTACTTGCACTTTTCATCAATGTGAACTTTTGGATGTCAACAAGCAGACAAAGTCCATGCTGATCAAATCAAGTTGGTGCAGACTTGCCTTAAATCAAAAAGAAAACTGGCGTGGAGATCGAAACTAAAAAAAAAACAAGTAAGAAAAGGCTAATTTCGGATGTAACCGAACATTTTATACTCTCGCAAAGTCAAATGGTATACTCGTTTGAGACTTCTTTGTGGATTGACTGATATTTTCGGTAGAAGCTCAACTATAGGCACTGGGATCCACATATTTAGTACTTAGGGGCTTGAACAGTTTTGGTTCGATTTAGACAATTTTTGGTCATAAGGTGGCATACTTTAGACGTATTATTCACGCAAAGTTTTAACCCGATGTATTCATTGTTGCTTGATATGCATAGTGGAAAGTGAAAGAATCAGATGGAATTGAAAATGGTGTTATATGGGAAATAAGCGTGGTTGTAGTCGCACTATAACATAAAACTATGAAAAGAACGTTATGCACCAAATTTGGTTGAAATCGGTTAAGCAGATCTCAAGATATGGGTTTTTACCTAAAAGTGGGCGGTGCCACGCCCACTGACTAATTTTGAAAGCGGTTCCTATAAAGTCATCTCATACCATCCCAGAGATAAAATTTAATGTGTCTGACGTATTTAGTGCTCGGTTTATCGCGCTTTCAGTAGTTTTTAACAGTACCGTTATATGGTGAGCGGGCGGGCTTGTCACCCGATTTCACCCATTTTCACACTGTAGGTAGAGCTCTAAAAACATTTGCTTCCAGTGAATTTTGTTATTATAGGATTAGCGGCTTAGGAGATATGCACATTAAACCTAGCTTAGTTATGGCATTTTATTTGTTTTTGATTAATGGCGTTTTGTGGGCGTGGCAGTGATCCGATTACGCCCATCTGCAATACCAACCGTCTCACGGTACCAAGAAACATGTCTACCAAGTTCCATAAAGATATCACATTTTTTACTCAAGTTAGAGCTTGCACGGACGGACAGACAGTCACCCGGATTTCAACTCGTCTCTTCATCCTGATCATTTATATATATATAACCCTATATCTAAATCCATTAGTTTTAGGTGATACAAACAACCGTTAGGTGAACAAAACTATTATACTCTGTAGCTACAGGTTGCGAGAGTATAAAAACAAACAGATAAACCATTACTGCAAACAAAGCAATGACCTTAATCGTAGTACCAACAATATTGTTATCATCTGTATACGATGACAACTAACGTATCAATGTCAGCGATTGCCAACTGGGTTAGACCCTCAGCACAAATGCATGGATGTCGGGGAATAAGTTTTGCAAAGTGTTACTTGAAGCAAGAAAAAACGCTAACTTCGGTTGCATCGAAGCTATAATACCCTTTACAAATACAAAGGTTCCCTACAAGCACTTGATTCCGATCGTTCTGTTTGTATGGCAGCTATATGATGTGATAGTTCTATTGATCTGATCTTAACAATTTCTTCGGAGAATACATTCTTGCCTTAAACAAAAACTTATGCCTAATTTCGTGAATATATCTCGTCAAATAAAAAAATTTTCCAAGCAAGCACTTTATTCCGATCGTTCAGTTAATATGACAGCTATATGATATAGTCATCCGATCTATACAATTTCTTCGGATATTGCATTGTTTTAAATAATAATCCATGCATGCTGATCATTTGTGTACATATTTTAAAAGGTCTCCGACGTTTTCTTTTGGATGTTACAAACTTCGTGGCAAACTTAATGTACCCTGTTCAGGGTATAAAAATACAAACATGAAAACAACATGGACAAGCAGAACAGATTAGCTAGAGGAAATCGCAAAAATAACGAAAATAACAGGAAGAGAATTCAACTTAGAGCGCAAACAAACGAAAACATTTTTAACAGTTTCTTAGCAACATTGTTGCAGACAAAAGTTGCTTAGCACAAACTGCAACAATATTGCTGCCGACTAAGAAGTAGCTTCGCAAGAAAAACATTAACTAAGCAGCAAGCCAGTGACGGCAGTGGCAGCAATGAAAATGCAAAGAAATGTGAAAATCAAAAGAAAAGCAGCAAGTAATTTCTTTGCTGGCTTTTAGTGCGAATAAAATTGGTGTCTATAAAAGAATAGAGCGCGCCTTACGGTGGCATCAGTGTGTTTTGAAGACTGCCAGAAGCCGCTTCAGTCGGTTAATCAGTTACAAAAGGTAAAAACAAAGCGACTAACGTTACATATAGTGTACTCAAACGCGACCAAAAGTCAATAGCCGTTTTGGTTGAATTGCTCTCGGTGCGATTGTGTGTGTGTGTGTGTGCATGATAAACAAGGATACTGGGAAAAGTGTAATAAAAAGTGCTTGAAATAACAAAATAGTGGCGACAAACTAAAAATTGTGCTCAACAAAAGAATAAACCACAAAAATTCAAATAAATAATTTAACAGTACTGAAAGCCAGTGGCCAAAATGTTGTTCAAAAAGACTTTTATACCGGCGAAACTAAAAAATCCCGCCATATGCTGGAATTACGTGTTCGCGCTATGTGTTTGCCAGATTTGGCATACCTGCAACGCCGGCACAGAAAATCTTACCAACTTTCCTTACACACAGCAAGGATCTGCAGCAGCAATATCAGTCGTGTCTGCAAGTAAATCTTCTGCAGCCGCATCCTCACCAACCTTGTCAGCAACTTCTGCCGCGCCCTTGAGCTCCACAAATGCCGGCACACGCACAGTTTTACGCATCTACGATGAGTGCAGTCATTCGATTGGCGGTTTCGCGCCATGCCTGAAAAAAAAGGCGATCTCTTTTATCGACCGCATATCGCACATTGACGCGATCACCGTGGCAGATGGCATTAAATTGGTGCGTTTGCCGAATAGTGCTGTAGCCGAAGCTCCGGTGCCACTTCAACCGCTCTATAGTGAGAACGAGTTAGAACCATCTTTATCGCGCTCCAGCGATGATCGCGATACAAAATTGACAAATATGCTTATTGAAAGATTGAGCTATTTCTTCAACGGACATACACTGCAAGTTAATTTTCCAAAATTGACTGCTGAAGAAATAGGACGTGGTCTTGAAGAAGGTAAGTGCACCAGCGACAGTTTTGCACGGCTTTGCTTTTATAACACCTGCACCTGTGAACAATCAATAAAACAAAACATAATTTTTCCTGAATAATAAAAAACATATTGAAATGAGTAGAAGAGGCTAGAGTAAAGAAGGTGGTCTGAAGATTTAGGTGAAACTTTTTTTTATGTAAGTGAGAGGTAGTTTGTCACCCTTTCTAGCTCTATTATAGAAGATCAGCAGAGAAAACCTTATGATCTTTAAAACGTAAGCCTATTATGCATTATTTTAAATTAATTAACTCTTTAGCTTCTAAGTAAATGGTTAGTTCTCTGCTTTTTGGGAAAGGTACAAAACTAAATAACGATACTAATTATAATCTATATTTCTCATAAAACCTGATTTTAGAGGGTTATTTTTTTATCAGCATATAAATGAATATAAGTCATATGTCTTGTGTTTCAAAACCGCAAATTTATTATGCCAACCTACCAAACCTAAATGCAAACTCGTGGTCGTAAATAATATTAATTTAGATTAAATACTGACTGCAGACTTATCTTGCGTCTTGTGTCTGCATTCACCTCTCCACTTAAGTATATATTCTATGCATTATATTCTATACATACATAAGTACTTATGCATTCAAAATGAATTACTCATTACACCACAAAATTTCCCACACTTCAGCCGTCTATATATGTGCCAATTTACACAACAACAGAGCTGCAACAGTGAACTTTTGAATAACTAAGAAAATATTTCGACTATGTGTGCATTTGAATTATATATACAATTGTATATAAGGCGTTCCATGCCTCTCATGATCATACATCATGAGTGAATATATATATATGTACAAGTATATATTAAATTAAATTCCCTATGATAATCGTTGGATAGCATCAACCACAAAACCAACTCGCGCACACAATTTTCATTAACTTCATCATCATTGAGAAAATAGGTTACAATTTTCACAAGATCTTCTTTAGCCACACTGACAAAAATGTGTTGCATATTTATGTTATTAAGTTACTCTGAATCCTTTCTCGGAGAAATTGTTTTTTGCTCCTAGGTGCAATAAATGAATAATAGTTGCATGATTGTTGGTTATATACTCATTATAGCGAAAATATTAAAGGTTACAAAGAAAACTGTACTTGTATTTTTGGGTTCCTACCTGTTAGAAATTTTAATACATCACTTTTTCCCAATTTGTTATAATTCAATTTGCATACTTTTCCGGTTTCAAATTTTATTTCTTTGAGGGAGAATTTCTCGTGCAATTTCACGGAACAACGTTTCTTAAAAATACGAAGTATAATGATACTTACATTTTTAAACCATTTTATTGGAAGATCGTTCTCATATCTGCTGCCTAATAAGAATGATCCTTTCCGGATAATAATCTGTACCACATTTCATGAAGATATTTTGTCAACTAAAAAAGATTTCCACACAAGGACTTGCTTTTGATCGGTCAGATTGTAAGGCAGCCATATCCTTTAGTGTCCCGATATCGTCGGTTGAAGCAAATAAACAGCTTCTTGGAGAGAATGGGACGTGTGCAGCTCATCAAGATAATCATTAGTATATATGTATATTTTACATATAGGTTTTCTTTTAGGTGTTACAAACTTCGTGGCGAACTTATTATACTCTGTTCAGGGTATAAAAATCTAGCATGTCATATTCCCGTTCGGGACGTATTTTATAAAATTATTTTTAAGGAAGGGCTAAGTTCAGATGTAAACGAACATTTTATACTCTCGCAAAGTCAAATAATATACTCGTTTGAGATTTCTTTGTGGATTGACTGATATTTTCGGTAGAAGGTCAACTATAGGCACTGGGGTCCACATATTTAGTACTTAGGGTCTTGAACAGTTTTGGTTCGATTTAAACAATTTTTGGTCACAAGGTGGCATACTTTAGACGCATTATTCACGCAAAGTTTTATCCCGATACAATTATTGTTGCTTGATTTGCATACTGGAAAGTGAAAGAATCAGATGGAATTTAAAATGGTGTTATATGGGAAGTAGGCGTGGTTGTAGTCCGATTTCGTCCATTTTCGCACTATGACATAGAAGCATGAAAAGAATTTTATGCACGGAATTTGGTTGAAATCGGTTAAGCAGATCTCAAGATATGGGTTTTCACCTAAAAGTGGGCTGTGCCACGCCCACTGTCTAATTTTGAACGCGATTCCTATAAAGTTATTTCACACCATCCCAGAGATAAAATTTAATCTGTCTGGCGTGTTTAGTGCTTGGTTTATCGCGCTTTCAGTAGTTTTTAACAGTACCGTTATATGGTGAGCGGGCGGGCTTGTCACCCATTTTCACACTGTAGGTAGAGTTCTAAAAACATTTTCTTCCAGTGAATTTTGCTATTATAGGATTAGCGGTATGGAGATATGCACATTAAACCTATTAGAGGCGGGACCACGCCCACTTAAAAAAAACAGATTTAACTGCAGATGCCCCTCCCTAATGTGATCCTGTGTACCAAATAACAGTCTTGTATCTTATTGCGGAGCTTAGTTATGGCAAGTTATTTGTGTTTGATTAATGGCGTTTTGTGGGCGTGGCAGTGGTCCGATTACGCCCATCTGCAATACCAACCGTCTCACGGTACCAAGAAAGATGTCTACCAAGTTTCATAAAGATATCTCAATTTTTACTCAAGATAGAGCTTGCACGGTCGGACAGACGAACGGACGGACGGACGGACGGACGGACGGACAGACAGTCACCCGGATTTCAACTCGTCTCTTCATCCTGACCATTTATAAATATATAACCCTATATCTAACTCGATTAGTTTTAGGTGATACAAACAACCGTTAGGTGAACAAAACTATTATACTCTGTAGCAACAGGTTGCGAGAAGTTAGATAGTAACTTGATTCCCAGACGTGATAGAAATTAAACGATATGGCATCCAATAAAAGAACATGACTTTGTTTTGTAAACTAGTTTATCAATGATCGCATCCTAAAAATATATTACTTCATACGTTTTATTGAAGATAATTTGGTCAATGTCAGAGTTTATACCTACTAATTAATCTCATAACATTCATTGCCGTTCTCTTTCACGTTTGTTTGATATTTTTACCGTGTATCGCATGCATACTTAACATTTTTGTTCTACGAGAATATGCCATTTTCACAAGGAGATATAAAAAATGAGCGCAGCTCATTTTATGAGATTATTAGATTCATACCTAGCTGCACATAATTATCGAATATTACAGGCGGGTGAGCAAATATAAAAAAGATGACGCGACTAAGCTCCATTACCTCTTTATTTACTGTAGAAAACTGACATACGTATTTAGATTATATGCTATAACTTTAAACAATGGTGTGTAAAAATTAGGCTTTGCAAATTGTAAGAACATATTTTCTTCTTGGATTATGCTTTATTCCACTTTTAATGTCAACAGAAATAGTTGACTAACAACTTTCACATTATTTATAGGTGACATCTACTTTGTTTATTTTTTGAAGTCAGCTTTAGGTGTCGTAGAGTTTCCTTTTATTCCAAATATGCTTCTTTTCACTCGATGAGGAACAAATACAAATTGTAATCTTATACCTATCGGCTTTTCCAATAGGGATGATATGATCTATATTTTTTTTTTCATTGTATTCAGTAATGTTTACAATTTCATCATGGAAAGATATGCGCAAGAATAATGTTTACAAATTATTCAATTTTATTATCAGTATAATCGTTCTCCGATTGCAACTTTTCGTGCGCTTTTGCCATTTTATGATCGTAATAATCGTACATCTCTTGAAAATTGTCGTCGCGAAAAAAATCCATAAATTATTCATGAACAACTATTATATTCACCTAAATTGACAGTTTGGTGTGCTTTTGGTTTTTTTTGGTGTGGGGGAATTATAGGTCCATACTTCTTTCGACATGAAGCTGTGACACCGTTACTGTCAATGAAGAGCGGTATAGATCGATGATAACCAACTTTTTATAGGCATAACTGGAAGAAGTTGATCTTGACAATATCTGCTTCTAACAAGACGGACCTCGTGCCACACAGCACTTGCAACAGCCAAATTATTGCGAGGAAAGTATGGAGATTCGATCATTTCAAGAAATTGCGACATTGTATGACCTCCAGGAACTTGTGATTTAACACCATTAGACTACTTCTTGTGGGGTTATTTGAAGTCAATAGTCTTTAGCAATAAACCATACTTTCTTCAAGTTTTGGAAGTCAATAATGAATGTCCTATTCATGACATACGACTTGATTTAGTGGGTTTATCGAAATCGTTTCTGCAAAAAAAATCGTGAAGGTCATTTAATTGTATCGATTGTACTTCACATTAAATAAAAAACGTTTGAATTTCCTTAACAATTTGTGTATGTTTTTTTTTTTTTTTTTTTAAATCTTAATAATCTTATTGGAAAACCCTGTATATATAGAGCCTTAAATCGCATTTTCGCCTTTGAGTTATTAAACTTTAACAGCTTGGTTCAAAAAGAAACTATACCCGTATCAAATATTTTATGTTTTATGGTTATAATAATATATTACCTAAGTTATTTGGTAGAAGAAGAGATAGTGCAAATTTATTATTCTTTCATTAAAGAATGATTCTTTTTTATAATAATTTCTAAATTATATCGTATTTAGTATATCTTCGCCCGTTTGACAAACCAAATCGACTTGTTTTGAGATCAGCTAGAAAGTGCTAAATTTGCTTACTTATGCAAATGTCTTAATCTTTTACACAAAAAGTATATTCATGGGAGTTTATAATATAGGGTCGCTCAAAATTAAAGTCTGCTTCATTTATCTCTGCAAAGAAAAAATGTAAACAGAAGTGAAATGGCTCATTTCAGTTTCTTTAGGTTCAAGTCCACAAATGTACAATATTTAAAGAATTTTCTCTTTTATCTCTTTAAAGTTATTTCCGTTTGAAACAATATTGTTGAAGTAAATGCAAATTTCTGTCGCTACCATATAAATACAATACTAGATGAGTTCAAAAATAGTGGAATTTTCGTTAAAAAAAAAAAAAATTATTCTTTCGCCTACATTTATGTTGTATGCCGACACTTCTTCTAGTCGTCGAAAAACTTTTCAAAGTCGATTTTTACACCTTTAGCACTTTCAGCGATTTTCATCTGCCATGTAAAACATTTATTTTTGTAAATTGGACAACTTAAACGGAGCCATATGTGGATAATATTAAGGCTGGGGCGTTGTTACGGTATTGTTTTCATATATTTCTATCTAAGACCTTAATGCACTTTCATCTAAAATTCCTTGCTGGAAAGATTATGCGTGTCTGCGTACTATAATTTTAAAGCAACCCCGTTATGATTGTATACAATTCCTTCGACTCTAGTTGACGATACTTCGCGGAATTATTTTGTGATTTAAACGTAAAAATAAAATTACTTAAGCGTAATTTGTAGAATGTAATAAATTTTGATTATTAGTAATTGCACAGACGACTGGAAGCTGTGGGAAACTTATCGTAATAGTTTCTCATTTCCACGACACTGAAAATTACTGCAATGATTGCATGTATTTCTGTTTCCAAGATTTGCAATACTTCCTCAAATTTGATTAGTAATATAAAGCACTATATAAAGCCAGAAGAATTACATAAGATTCAATAAATCCTACGGGAATATTGAAATATGGTACAAATATCTTAATAAATGTTGCCGAGTTAAAGAAAAATGTATCATTTTGGTTTTAAATGTTAAAATATGATTAAGTGAAATCATGGAAGAATTACAGAAATTTCCGTTCTATCTTTTCATTTGGCAGAAAATAGTCTTATTCGTAGTAAAACTTGTCTAAGTGACTTTACTTTCCATACTATTCAATTGCTAGCATTTTTGATGCACTGCAAGCGAGAAATGGCCATCAAAGTAAGATAAGTTAAAGGAAAAATGGTTGTCAATTCCATACACTTACTATATTTTTAATGTAAATTGTCAAAAAATATTAGAGACTTTATGGTCATTGACAAATGATGATAAATGCAAGTGAAATCTTGAGCAGTTATGGTTTGCCGGCAAATGAGTCCCATTCAGACTCACATCTTCTATTTGGAATAGTGTTCAGCGACAGCAAGTGAATTAAAAAATGACCATGAATGTGAATTGATGACTTAAAATAGCCATTTAAATGTTATGATAACCCATTAGTTTTTTCTTTTTGCATTTCCTCAGAAGTAGTTAGTTGTCCGTATGGCAAGCTGTCTACTGGTAGTAGTAGCATATGTCAAAAGCAATTAATCAATGAAATCAAATAGTATTTCATTGAAAAATAAAAGACAAGATAATAAATGGTCGGCTGGAACTTTTTTTTCTTACATTTTTTTTACAAATTATAGCGTACTAATACCTGATACCTCGATAGCGACGGCCAAATTAGGCAGACTCTCACTTTCTGAATTTAATAATTTCCCCCAGGAAATTAAATGAGTACAATGTCCTAAATTTTTATTTTCTCTGTTTCTTTCTCTTACAGGTCGTGGCAAGATGAAGAAAATGATGAGCATGATGATGATGGGCATGGCCATGAAAATGATCGGTATGCTGCCGGTTGCGATGGGTATGCTTTACATGATGGCCGGCAAGGCTCTAATTGTCTCCAAGATTGCCCTATTGCTGGCGGGCATGATGGGTATAAAGAAACTAATGTCAGGGCGAGGCGGCGGATCGGGTGGCGGTGCGGGTTGGTCATCTGGTGGCGGCGGTGGTGGCGGCTGGTCTTCCGGCGGTGGCGGTGGTTATGATCGACGCTCTCTAAATGAGGCGCACGAATTGGCTTATCGAGGTTTTACTAATAGGCAGCCATCTGGCATGTATTCGAAGCAGAATTCAGCACAACAACAACCAAAACAGCACGAACAGCAGCAGCAACAGCACAAACATCAGCAGCAACCGTTATCGCTGCAACAGCAGCAGCAGCAAGTGCAAAAGTCATAAACAGTAGCTAGCAGCAGTAGTAGTGGTGGAAGTGATGGTACTTAGAGAAGAACTTAACGACACCAAGAACAACCAATAACTGTTATAAAATCGAAGTGCAATACTTTAATGCAAAGATATACATGTTTATATGGTAACTTTTGCATGAACACACGCGCAAAAGCATGAAAATTAATACACTCACCATTCATCATCTCATAGATGATGTGTAGCTTCTTAACACAAATCAACAGCGGCAACATAAGAACCGCCAAATTGGCAACAAAGATAAAAATACACATTTGTTGTTCAGCATTTTGTAATTAGAATTTCTTTTACTGTCTCATTTCTTCATCTCTTTTTATATTTCGACTTCCCAATCCTCTTCTAGCTTTAATAAGCCTAGCTAAAGGCGCCAATTTCCACATTTTACGCTAGTTTTATAAGTTCGCCAACATACAGAGTTAAGTAAATATTTTCTATATAATTTTTGTTGCCTTTTGCTATAATGTAAACTCCAGTTATTATTGTAGACTTTTTGCCACGCACAGCAATCAAGTCATCGCTTTTCTTTTATTAGCTAAAGTCTATTTGTTTTCCTTCTTCTTCTGCTACCTCCATTAGCTGTGAACTATGGTGAACTCGCTATATTGCTTTTCCATCTTCTTCAGCGCTTTTTACCCCTCAATTGTACTTACTCTATGGAGCTTTTTGTTACAGTTATTTTTCAATTACCGGTAGTGCTTAAATTTTCTATAATTCTGGGCGTACTTCCGTATTCACACATACTTGTAGAATTGCCTTCCAGCGCATGCGCACATGTGTGTTAGCTCTAATATCCTCATTTCCGAGAACTTTGGCATGCCACTTTTCATTGATTTCATATAGAAATCATTAGACACCAATTGAATTCTTAACAAAAATGCAGTGCAAATCAAATGAAATGGATGACTTATTTTACTTTTTCATTATGCTTATTGAATCTCTTACTTTTAATAACTTATTTATTTATTATTACTTTGTAGTTTTTAAGCCTAATATTTGTTTAAGTTTTTCTAGTGCTATGCATTCAGAAAATAAAAATTCAAAAAACATACAAAAACACAATTAAAAAATTATATTTTATTTATAATATAGTACGTAAAATCCAATTGTTTACTACATTTTTATACATAGTTATATTAAATAAATTGCAATTTAACGTAAAATACCTCAGCGTTTTTTAGAACCATTGATTTCAGCAGCTGCTGGACGCCTCTCCATGCTGAGGTGTTACGGACCCCGCTCTGAGCCTTCAGTAGGTCAATGACGTATTCTTTTATTTTTCCTGCCGTTCTTAGGAGCAAAGAGAGTTATGTTCCTTACTCAAACAGCCGTTCCAAACTGAAGACGGACAACTGCGATCGCATACGTCAAGTTCAATAGAAGGCGCGTCTTCTCGCCATGTATCCTTTGACGCTTGACTGTCACTGAGGTATATTCAGCTCAGTTGGCCTACTAAAACTTCCTTCGTCCATCACCCTTCTAGCCAAATCCAACGCATCGGCATGGACAGATACCTGTCCAGCATGTCTGTCACTCCTGGCCGGTGTGTTCCCCTTCCTATTAGTACCCTTTGTATCCATAATAGACTCCAGCAAAGGCACCCCAGCTAGCGATTCCTCCACGGACAGTTGCCCTAACATTGTCAGCAATCAACAGATTTCTACCGACTTGTCCCGTCTTTCCTCTTCCTAGTGGGACTATCCTTGATGCACCCGATATAGAGGCTGCACCGACCCTTTTGGTAGCCTTGGCGGGTGATGATTTCTTCACCCTGGATCCTGCACTCCCAGTAGTTCCAAACTCCTTTCGCCACCCGATTCCGTTTTTCCCTCGCTGAATTTGTTGGAAAATGCTCTGCTAACCAAGACGAGGGTTAACGCACGCCTCTATGGGGCGGTGCGTTCAGAGCCGACCAGCATAAAGAGGGAGTTATCTCTACCAACGCTTACCACACCAACACATGTTGATGGGTGGAACATACTCTGAAACCTGTCATGGCTTTAACGGAACGGAGACACATATAAAATTGTCTCACCAGTAATTTCTGCTCAATTTCCCAGCATAATCGAATGGCAGAATGTCGAAAACATCAACTCACGACTCCACCCGAAATCTAAAACGTTAATTTCTAATCATTGTCTAAGTCAAAATCACTTGCAAGAAAATTTGTTTCAATACCGTTTCCAACAAATAAGTTTTCCAAATTAAGGCATCCTTAACACTTATAACTGTAGGGACATATTATTGTCTTATGTATACAAGTATTTACATAAATTCTTGGGGGTTTGATATTTGCTCCTAAACACCCAGCTCAACTTTGGGGTTCACTCTATCAGAGTTTGAATCACCAACTCCTATCTCAAAGAAACATAATCTTTTTTACTTATACACCAATACACCCCTATGACAACATTTTAAAATTTTAGTTAAGTTGGAACTTGGTCCAGATTTCACCAAGCTATCTTGATAAAGTGATGAATGCCCTATACGGAAAGAGTTTTAATAACAGTTTGAAGTGAAGTTCCTCATTCAATACCATTTACTTGTTTTCGAATTAGATTTTCCTATACTCTGCTTTAAACCTTCATCAAAAGGTTGAAACAGTACAATGGTGTTATCATAGGTGGAAGAAATTATATTATATTTCTATCTTACGAGGAATTTAATTTGTCTTTGGTGACAACATCAACTATCAAGTTCTAGAATAGTATCAGTTCACCATATTAAAGAAGTTATTAATTTCGGTTCTAGATAACATATCTTTTATAAAATTGTTTGCACCAACCTCGTGTTTTCTCTTCCTTAACCATGAAATATTTCTAATTTAATACCATATCGCGGACACCGTCACCATAATCAGCTGTGTACAGGATCAAAATCATCTTTCAATTTTATTACTGTATTTAGAAGAACTTTGAAATCGGCTGATAACCACATAAATTGCGTGCAAAAAGTGACAGTAGAACGTGATGTGTTGGAAGTGTTGCCAGAAATACACGCAGAACGTAATAATTTAAGAAATTTGCAACAATGCTGTCGAGATTGCCATCTCGAACGTACCCAAACATGCAGGTGAAGCTATTAAAAACGTTAACTTCGGTTGCGCCGAAGCTGTAATAACCTTCACAAGTACAAGGAATTCCAGATAAGAGCTTGATTTTCATCATTTAGTTTGTATGGCAGCTATGTATATGCTATAGTTATCCGATTTGAACAATTTCTTGAAGATGTCAAATCAATCATGACCTATTTCGTGAAGATATAAAAAAGTTTTCCATGCAAAGACATGATTTTGAGCGTTCAGTTGTTTGGTTTTGAGCAGCTTCTTGGGGATAAAAGACCGAGAAGTCGACTCAGTTCGTCACGCTTATAAATTATATAATATATTATATATACATATACATATATGTGTATTTAATAGGGTCTCCGAAGTTTACTTCTGTGTGTTACAAACTTCGTGGCAAACCCCTACCTTATTCCGAGTATAAAAATATACATATGTATGTATGTGATAAACAAGCAGAACTTTTGAAATTTTTTTGTGCTGCTAACCGAAGTTTGTTTCGTAAAAATCAAACAATACTTAGTTATAACCTCCTTTCAAATAGATAAAATCAGGCATATTTTTAGTGTTTCTTATAAAAGAATTTATTACACAAAAAATGTAAACATTTTTTATTCATTTCGACGCCAGTGAAGCTACAGGCACGACAAAACAGGAATATCTGCCTCTTTTAAGTAATGAACACTTTTCTTCCCGCCGGTAATTTTCCTCGTCACAGACTAATACACTTGTCTTGTCATCAGATTAAGAGGTGCCACCAAGAGCCTATAGTTTATTGTCTAGAGATACGCAAGCGATTGCCATAGACACCTTCCTTTTTGAAAAAACATTAAAATTTTGAAGCGGTTTATTCCTCTTCAGTCATTTGTGTTTTATTCATTGCCCACAAGTATGGTGTTCATATTATCTAAAAATTGTCAATAAAACTTTGGCTTACTTGGTGTTAGGCATTTGCAATGTATTTGAGTGATCACGAAGTATTTTTCTTATGCGTAGCACATCGGTTTTGGTCCCTACATTTTTATCACCGTAATATAAATCAAAACTAATGTCCATGTTAATGATTTTTCTCCTTTTCGTGAGCAATTACTAATTAAATTGTTTTGAGTTTTCATTTAAAATTTTTCAACTGTTTAATTATCTGAAACTTTGACTAACAATAGTTTAACAATACAAAAAAAGAGTTGGGTTGATTTCAATTGAACTTAAATTCAACTAAGTGGAGTTGGAAACCCTAATAGGGGAATTGGTTTGTTATCAAACGATTGGGAAAAGTCAACTTAATACAGGAGTTTTGCTGAGGATCATAACGTTCAACAATTCTGTTACTTTTACGCCACCAATTGCCTAAAACATAAATGTGACCATTATGTGCTGCCACCTATAATGAAAAAAAAACAACAATACCTTTTTTATTTTATTTTGTTGGGTCTAAGATAATTAGTGATTATTTTATTTTGCAAAGACAAAATTTTGGTCAATACTTCTAAGCGGATATTTTTTCTCATAGGATTTCAAAATCCTAGAGAAGTATTCGATTGGCGAAAACAAGCGGACTTTGTTATTGTAGCGACAGTATGTGTTTTCAAAATAATATTAATAATATTATTCCAGTCAAGAAGAATCCGACTTTTTTCCGGTACGTAAATCCATATATAGTGAAAACAGGAGTTCTCAGGGCACTAATTGGGCATACTTTTATTCTGATAACTTATTTGTTGTTTGATTTGCATTCCGTAATGTGAAAAAATCAGATGGAATTTTATAGTTTGTTATATGGGTAGTAGGCGTGGTTCTCATCCGATTTCACATTTTCACAGTGGTTTGGACAACCTCACACACCACATGCGATCAAAATCGGTCAAATTGTTCCTAAGATAGGATTTCACTTAAGGGTGGGCGGAGCCTCGCCCATATTCCAATTTTTATAACTGCTGGAGTGTGGGCATGATTATTATCTTCTTGTCAGCAAGTTTAGTTGATTTAGCTTTGACGGTTTGGAAGATATATTCATTAAATGGCATCGCAACTTTTAAACAATTTATAGATGTCCAACGCTACTGTGATCCCTTGTACCAAATCACAGTTTGGTATTCAAATTTAATGGTTAGTTGTGGCACTTTATATGTTTTCGCTTAATGGCACTTTGTAAGAGTGGCAAAGGACCGATTCCGCCCATTTGCAATACCAACTATTCTTGGGTGCTAAGGAACGCGTGTACCAAGATATGTTAATTTTTACTCGAGTTATCGCTTGCACAGATAGACAGACAGACAGTCAATTTCAACTCGTCTCATCGTCCTGATCATTTATATATATATAACCCTATATCTATTTCCATTAGTTTTCGGTGATCCAAACAACCATTAGGTGAACGAACTATTATACTCTCTGTTGCAACATGTTGCGAGAGTAAAAAATTAGACAGACTTTTTTAGTTGGTTTTCATAATATAAATAATTATTATTACCCCAGGCAAATAGTGACAATTTCTCATATCTGCGCAAGGAGTCCAAGTGTTCGATTCCGGGTTGTAGCGTTCGACTGATTTTAAGGAGGTGTTACCACAATAACCGCCCACTATGTAAATTTTACCATTCAAAGGCACAGCACCGGCGTCCTCTCGTCCAACAAGCAAACTTTTCACGAACTTCCAACCGTCGTATGTCGTATATCTAGAAATAAACAATAAGAAACAATTAAGGAAGATCTAAGTTCATGTGTAACCGAACATTTCATACTCTTACAACTTGCAAGAATCAAACCCAGGGAAATTCCTTTAGGTGCTAGCATAACTTTATATTAAACAAGTAAGGAAGAGCTAAGTTCGGGTGTAACCGAACATTTCATACTCTTGCAACTTGCCAGGATCAAAGCCAGGGAAATACCTTCAGGTGCATACGGTTTGTTAGAACAAAGAAAATCAAATGTAGTATATGATAGTTTGGGTATGTTGTGAACCAATTCCACATATTTTTGGCATTAAACTATAGGATATCCAATATTATACTTCCACTTAATTTTTTTAAGGTATATGGGGTCTAAAGGAATTATTGACCCCACACAATCTATTTTTGACATATAGGCAGTGTATTATCAGAAAAGGGTTCTCTTCGAGTTTCTATAAAACTCACATATTGGCAATATATTACGTATGTATTTTCCAAGGGAAGTATTGATTTGATTCAACCCATTGACATACAGACATACTGACTGCGTTCGAGATGGCAATCACGACAGCAGTGTATTTATTGCAACACTTGCAGCAGCAACACATTCTACTGTCACTTTTTGCACGCAATTTATGCAAATTATCGGCAACACAGTTGCTGTACTGCTGTAATTATTACATAGCTCGAATACACTACTATCAGGAAAGAATCCTCTCTGAATTTCAATTATATATATCACACATTGACCGATTTTTTCGATAAGAAATCAACTATCGGTACTTGGGTCCACATATCCGTTATTTGGCGGCTTGAACAGTTGTAGTCCGATTTTGACAAATTTTGGTCATAAGCTGGCCAAGTATAAGGGCACTATTCGTGCAAAGTTTTATCCCGATATAAAATGTATTCATTGGTGCTTCAATTGAGTACTGGAAAGAAAAAATATCAGATGAAATTTAAAGTTGTGTTATATGGGAATAAAGCGTGGTTGTAGTCCTATTTTCCGCACTGTAACAATGGAAATGTCAGAAGAATGTTACATACTGAATTTGGTTGAAATCGATCGAGCAAGGCCCGATATATGGGGTTGCCCTTAAAAGTGGGTGGTGCCACGCCTCTTGTCAAATTTTTGTTTTCGCTCTTATAAAGCTTAACTTTATCATCCTATGTTCAACGTCTCTGACTGGTTTATTTAATGAGTTATCGCACTTTTAGTTATTTTAATTAAAACCCGAGGGAGTGGGCAAGGTTATCATCCGATTTCATCCATTTTCACACTGTCGGGGTGCTACAAATATTTGTCCTGAGTGAATTTGGTTATTTTAGCTTTAACGGTTTAGGAGGTTTGTACATTAAACCTATTAGAGGACGGGACCACGCCCAATTTTAAACAGCAGATAACAACCCCGCTAATGTGATTCGTTATATTAAATAAGAGTCTTGTATCTTATTGTGGAGCTTTGTTATGGAAATTTATTGGTTTTCGATTAATGGCGTTTGATGGCCGATTACGCCCATCTGCAATACCAACTGTCTTACGGCACACAAAAACATCTGTACCAAGTTTCGTCATGATATCTCAATTTTTACTAAAGTTACAGCTTGCACAGACAGACGGACGGACAGAGAGTCACCCGAATTTCAATACGTCTTTTCATTCTGATCATTTATATACATATAAGTATATAACCCTATATCTAACGCGATAAGTTTTAGGTGATACATAAAATCGTTAGGTGAACAAAACTATTATACTTTGTAGCAACATGTTGCAAGAGTATAAAAAATATTACGGTGCCACGCCCATCGGCCAATTTTGACACCGGCTTCTATAAAGCCCTTTTGTACCATTATCGGTGTAAAATTTTATATCTCTGACGGGTTTAGTTATTAATTTATCGTGATTTTGCTAATTTTTAACAAAACCGTTATAAAGGGAGTGGGCGGTGTTATTATTGGATTTCACCTATTTTCACACTGTCGTAAGAGCTGCCGAAAGGATTTACCCTGTTCAAATGTGGATGTTATAGTTTGGGAGACATATAGGCTCCCATCGAAGATGTACTACTGCAAAGTATCGGTACAGTATGACTACAGTTTTTATACATCTTCGGTATGCTACGTCAAACAACATTGCAAAATGATGGTGAAAAGAAATATGTGTAGCAAGTTTCATCAAGATAGAGTCAGAGAGTTAGAGTTTACCTAAAGCCAGAAGCAATTTAGAGACAAATGCCCTGTGATGACTCATAACATATTCGTCAATTTCATTACCATGAGCGAACCGCCAGCAATGTTCTCTCACCACAATTTTTAGCACTGACCACTCGTGGTTCTGTAAATCGGATATTTATCTTTTTTCGTGCTTTAGGCTCACTGTTCCACAATATCGCCTTGAAGGCCAGTAGCTCACAACCAGGTAATGGCTGTATGTGTCTCAACAGAAAACCCAAGCCTAATTGGGTAAGCCGCAGACAAGCTATTAAGAGTGGTAGGTGTTTTTGACGAGCGAGAACATCGTAATTAAACCATCGTTTTATAGCATCATAAGCATTTTCTTCACAAACTTTATTCAAATTGTCAGATTCCAGAATGACTTGCATTTTTTCAACATCACTTTGGCTGATCTAATATTATAATAAACCCAACGATTACCCTCCTCTCGCCCAACCGACGCGAGGGGCCCAATCCGCATACGTGCGGAATTAGCCGAGTCAGAAAAGGCAAGAAAGTTTTTTAAGTGTTGAGATCTAAAACTGCTCAGCTACAGAAACAAAAATTTCAACAGCTAAGATCTAAAGTTACAATATAATAAATTGTTACATTTTCATTTATTAAGAGAAAACAATAAAGTCTTTTTAATTTTGAAAAGTGAGTCAGATAAGTCAAATGTGCTGGAATGAGAATTAAAATCATGACATATACGGCGGAATGGCTCGTTTAGTTCAAAATTTGATCTACAGGATTTTAGCAGTAAAGGTCTAAACTGCCTCGAAAGGCGAACCGGGATATTAAATTTAATTTCAGACAGGAGAAAAGAACTGCAAACAGTTCCATTCAAAAGTTTCACTAAGAATATTATGCCAAGCATTTCCCTACGACTAGAAAGTGTAGGTAGATTAATAAGTTTTAAGCGACTAGTGTATGGAGGTAGACTTACCCTAGCATCCCATCGGAAATGCGCTAAGGCGAAAAGTAAAAATTGTTTTTGAACCGACTCTAACTTGTCAGAATGGATTTGGTAGCTAGGGTTCCATACCACAGAGCCATATTCCAATATAGGGCTAATCAAAGTTGTATAAAGTGTTTTAGTAATATACGGATCTCTAAATTCTTTAGACCAACGTTTAACAAAACTGAGGACAGCTTTTGCTTTCAAGACCATGGTATCAATATGAAGACTAAAATTAAGCTTAGGGTCCATATTAACTCCCAAATCAACATAGTTTAAAACTTGCTCTAGAATATGGTGTTTTATTACATAAGAAGAGGGGTGCACAGATCTACGGGAAAAGCACATCGTCTTACATTTATTGAGATTCAATGGCAAATCATTTCTATCACACCATGCAACCAAATTGTTTAAGTCTGTTTGCAACAGACACCTTTCCTCAGTTGAAGTGTATGATTAAAAAAGCTTTACATCGTCAGCGTATAATAAAATTTTTGAGAATTCTATTACTGAAGAGATATCGTTAATAAACAACAAGAACAGAATCGGGCCAAGATGACTACCTTGCGGAACACCAGAAGAAACATTAATTGTATCTGAAGGTGTATCCTCAAATATCACTCGTTGTGTTCTATTATAAAGATAGGAAGATACCCATTGAAGGAATCTCGGCTGAAAGCCCAGCAGATCAAGTTTATGTATGAGAATCGAGATATTTACTTTATCGAAAGCTTTGCTAAAGTCTGTGTATATAACATCCGTATGCTTATGTTCCCTAAAACCCAATGATACATGGTTTACAAATTCAAGTAAGTTTGATATAGTCGAGTTCCCTTTACGAAATCCATGCTGAGATAAGGAAATTAACGGAGAAATCGAACAGGTTATATGGTCAGTGATGATAGCTTCAAAAAGTTTAGGTATAACTGATAGTTTTGCGATACCTCTATAGTTTTCAATGTTGGATCTAAATCCACTTTTTTGCAAAGGGATTATAAATGACTGTTTCCATATTGAAGGAAATATACCGTGTTTAAGAGAGGAATTAAATATCCTTGTCAAAGGCAAGTAAATATATTTGGCACTATTTTTTAGGAAGCATGAGGGTATCATGTCTGGGCCATAACTAAAAGATGGTTTTAACTTATTTAAATTAAAAAGGACGTCTTCTTCAGAAATAACTGGAGCGTTAATTAAAGTATTCGAGCACAGCACTTGCTGATAAGAAAAAGTTTTGGAAGAATTATTACAGTAGTTTGACTTGAAAAACACTGCAAACATATTGGATATAATATCATTGTCACTTGAAATGATAGATTTGTATTTCATTGCGGACGGAAATTTGGAAATCCTGCGTTTGGAGTTGACGAAATCATAAAACGATTTTGGATTACTTACAATATTTTTTTTAACTTTATTTAAGTAATTATTATAACATTTTTTGTTTAGGTCAAAATATTGTCGACGCAATAGCGAATATTTAGAATAGTCGACAAGTGAACCGGTTTTTTTAAAATGCTTAAAGGCTCGAGTTTTTCTGTTTTTCAATTTATATAACTCTTTCGAAAACCACGGACTTATATTTTTGTTTTTGTTAACAATTACTATTGGAACATACTTTTCAAATAATTTCATAATAATGTTATTAAAATGAGAGACACTCAATTCAATGTCACCATTATAATTAGGCCATGTTATTGTAGAAAGTTCTGTATTTAATTTTTTTAAATTAGCTTTTGCAAAGTTAAACCGAGTACAGAAGCACAAAGTTTGATGATCCCGTACAATGCCTGAGATTTCGACAGATATTTCCAAAGCAGGATGATATGAGTCCTCTGGTAGAACAAGAGGATTACTCTGAATAACGGAACACTTTGCAGAGGTATCAACGTATACTAAATCTAAGCATTTACCAAATTTATTCGGAATCAAATTAATTTGGTTCAGACCCAACTCGGACATTTTTTCGAAAAACTCTTTAAAACATGACCGATTGCAAATCGGCACGATATAGTCATCGAAAGGTTTCCACGAAGCACACGGTAAATTGAAATCACCTAATACAATTATTGAATCTGCATTATTTGCCATCGAGGTAGCACTATTTATTAAAGAAGCATGCTGCATGTATACAGATAAGTCCGAATGGGGTGGTATATAAGATAGGGTTAAATAAATAAAGCAACTATTAACGTATACTCTAATACATTTAAATACAAATGAGTCGGTCCCTGGAAAAAGAATATTTTCAGATGGGATAGAGGAATGCACGGCAAATAGAACACCTCCACCGATTCTGTTCAGTCGATCACATCTAAAAATTTGAAATTCGCTGTTTAAAATCTCATTATCAAAAATGTGAGATTTTAACCAAGTTTCTGTAAATCCAATTATATGGAAATTAAAATTGGAACTGTTCAAATACAAGTCAGTTAATTTTGTATTAAGACCTCTAACATTTTGATAATAAATGCTTAGCGAATTTCTACCAATCAGTTTTTTATATCGGTGGTTGCTTTTGGTAATTTAACACTGTTTTCCTCAGTTTGACTTCTAAGTTTAGGTTTAAATTCGCGTACAAAAGTCCCAGGTGGCCAGAATGAACTATCTAAGATCTTTTTGAATGTTTCAAGAGATACGTCTATTTTAAACGATGATACACTTCTATCATAATTGAAGTTAAATTTACGTATATTGATATCATCGATTTTTAAACGTGAATGTAATGTAAGATTTAATGTCCTCCACCAAGGTATCTTTGGCAAGTCTCGAAATAAATATAGACTTTTTAGGTGGAATAACTAGCAAGTTATTAACTGATGCTACTAAGTTAATAGGGGAAGCCTCTGGAATTGTGAGACACTTATTACTATTAGATAGAGCTTTTGGGGAATTGAGCTCTTTGGAAGTTGACGGCTTATCACCTTGAGGGCAAGGAGAAGAGAGATTTATTAGGTCATTGGGAGGAGACATTCTTTTCTGAACAGAAGAACTAAGTGTTACTTCATCGGAACGACGTTTACGCTTAGGAGCAGGTTTAGAGGATTCGTGAGAATCATTCAGGCACTTAAAAGATTTGAACAATTTTTCATAGTGCCTAAATTTTTCAGTGAGGGTTACAAGATCACGACCGATTTCGTTAAAGCCATTGCGTGTCTCCCTATAAACTTTAAATAGATCGATTTCAATAGATCTACAATTTAAACAGGACCAACGCAATCCCTTACAGTCGATAATAGCATCTAAGATTCTACCAGTCAGTCCAGCACATTTAATATGGGCAAGCCCATCACAAAGCCAGCATGAAGCGTAGCGATCTGACTCGCCTTTAATGTTACAATTGGGGAAGTTACAAGACATAATAAACCACAAGAATGAAGATCAAATAAAAGAGTAGGTAGAACAAAATTTAATAGATAAATAATAAATGAGTGTCTTAATAAAATATTAATAATAATAAATTCAATTAAGAACAATTTTTTTTTTATCAAAGTTTAAAACCAAGACAATTTGAAGAAGCAATATAGCGAGCAGTTTTAGAAGCACTGTAACAAATAAAAAGCTAAACGCAACACAGCTGTGAATAAAGAAGTAAATAAGATAAACAAAGTGAGAAAATAGAATAAAATAAAACAAAATGAAAGAAAGGCTGACTCGGCACCAAAAATTGTAAAGTTTAAACTTTTTAATACTTTTTAATACCGCACAAAACAGAACATTTAATACTTATCATGAAACTGAGAGTTTAATCACTAAAAATTTGTATTAACACGGTAATAAAAATGAGTTAAACTTCAAGAATTTTTTAAAATAAAAACACAAATGTACACAGCTAAAAAATTACAGCTTAAGAGCTTGGCATACAAAATTGGAAAGATCACAAACAAAATTTAAGTACACAAAAACCGGAATTATGACACATTGCGCGGATAACTAGACCACCTCCAGGAAATTTTGTATTTCGTAGTCGATAATATTCTTATTAAGAAGTTCACATTGAGTTTCACGCTCTAGTGTATAGGCACCATAGTCCAGTAATTATAGTAAGTTCACCTCGGAATTCAGATACCCAGCTGTAAGTCTGTAAATACTTGTATATTGACACCCTAAAAGTTGTCTCGAAACCTACATATGGTAGGGTGTACGCAACTATTAAATTTCAAGGTCAAAGGTCACAAAAATCGGTTTTTTGCGCTTTTTTTGTAAATATCTCATTTCCTATGGGTTTTTTGCTATTATTATTTATTATCAATATTGTAGAATACAAAATTCTCTACAAATTTTGTTTAAAAATTTTTTTCATACGGTAAACCGTTGTTGAGATAGAGGGCTTAGAGCGCGCGGTCACAGCATCACTTCAGGTCAACCGGTGCCTCCGATCAAAAACGCCCCATATATAGTTGATGAACTATCGATAAATCAATGATTATAAATATTTGTCAATTTTTATTAACTATTATATTATATTTTATCATTTTCTTCATGCCTTAAATCTTTATCTATTCAATAATACTGATCACCGTTTCCTAAAATTAAAAAATAATGAGGGGAAAAACTTAAATCTTACTATAATTATATTCCCATTAACACTAATGACATTTTAATTAGAAAATAATTAAGTGCATCTTCTTTAAAATCTGTAACTTTGTAAATAATAGGACAAGATATTGATTTACTCATCATTTTAATTGGGCGTACACTGTCTTACGAACAAGAAATTTTCTTTAAAAAAGTTGGGAAAGGCAATGTAAAAACGGAGATATACTCGACTAAAAGTTTTGATAATTATCCTCATTCCAAAACACATATTTATTTCTGCACGCATTAAGTGGATGTGACACAACTTCTGCGCTTTTTAAAAAGGGAAAAAAAACATTTTTAAAAGTTTTTGAGAAACTGACCAATTTGGATGAACTAGCTGCAGCATTTGAGGAAGAAAATTGTTCGGCCCAGAGATTATTAGAGAGTGGAACTCAAACCTTATTGGCAGTCTATAATGCTCCGAAATCTGTGAAAAGTCTCGATCATCTTCGTTATATGCATTACGTCAAGTCTACAAAACTTAATAAACCTGTGCAGCTTTCAAATATTCCACCAACAAGTGCAGCTGCTCATCAACATTTCGAACGTGTATAGTATCAAGTTCAAACTTGGTTAGGGCATGATTTGGAACCCCAGGTATGGGGTTGGGCAATGCGAAACGATTTTCTGGAGCCTATCATGACAATTTTACCACCTGCTCCAGAACATTTGCTAAATACAATTTTCTGCAACTGCAAGAGTGGTTGTGGTTCGCGATGCGGATGCAGGAAAGCGGGCTTGCAATGCTCTTTAGCTTGTGGTCAATGTAATGGGCAAGCTTGTCTCAATGCTCTACCATATCAGAGCGACATTAACGAAGATGAAACTTGTGACCCCGAAATCATGGAAGAACTTGAAACAAATGTCGTTGAAGACGATAATGAAGACCAGTTTGAAATTTACCAGCAGCCGGAAGACGACGATGAAGAGGAAGAAGATGATTAAAATTATAAATTGTAGTTTTTGTACCCTTTATTCCATTTTTTTACTTTTAATAAAAATAAATGTATTGAATGATATTTTTTAATAAATTTTTTTTATTTTTTGTTTATCATGTAAGAAGTTATTAATATTAATAAGGTTTAAATTCAAATATAATTCCTATATTTTCATTAACAATTCTGCAATTTCATGGGCAGGTAAGTGTTGTTAAATAAATTAATACTGAATAAAAAGTGGATAGGTTAGGAAAAAATGATAAAATATAATATAATAGTTAATAAAAATTGACAAATATTTATAATCATTGATTTATCGATAGTTCATCAACTATATATGGCGCGTTTTTGATCGGAGGCACCGGCTGACCTGAAGTGATGCTGTGACCGCGCGCTCTAAGCCCTCTATCTCGAAAACGGTTCACCGTATGAAAAAAATGTTAAACAAAATTTGTAGAGAATTTTGTATTCTACAGTATTGATAATAAATACCAATAGCAAAAAACCCATAGGAAATGAGATATTAACAAAAAAAGCGCAAAAAACCGATTTTTGTGACCTTTGACCTTGAAATTCAATAGTTGCGTACACCCTACCATATGTAGGTTTTGAGACAACTTTTAGGGTGTCAATATACAAGTATTTACAGACTTACAGCTGGGTATCTGAATTCCGAGATTTTTACCTAATTTAAGCTTAAATGACTGGACTACCATGTAATGTATATTCATTGATATGAGTCATAATGTAGCGCACACAACTGGTTATAGCATCGTCCAATTGCAAAACAATTGCCGCCTTTATCATTGCAGCGACATTGTTAACAGTAATCAGCGCCTGGCCGGTGTAGCAAAATGTTATTAAACGTTAAAAAATATCGCTATCGATATCATTTATTTCGATAACTTGTTTTTGATTCAAGCCTTAATCGCCATTGAAAAGGTTCTCGAAGTAAGGGCTCGCGGCGGAGAGTATCAAACGATGCCCGCGTACACTGTGCAATACAAAAATTATATACTTACAAGTACATATGTATATAAATCGATATAATTTTATGTAAGATGAAGGCAAAATAATAGGTAAATGTATAGTTTAGGTCCCCCCATGAAGGGGGCCGCGAAAATTATAATTTTTCTTTTTAAATCGTTTTATTTTGACACCAAGATTACAAATCCGTGAGCGGAAAGTGAATTTTTTCAATAATTTATATATAATTTTATATAAAGCAAGTAAGGAAATTCTAAGTTCGGGTGTAACCGAACATTTTTTACTCTCGCAACTTGCAAGGATCAAAGCCCGGGAAATTACTTCAGGTGTTGGCAAAATTTTATGTTAAAGGAAGTATTGATCCGATTCAACCCAGTTTTGACACAAAAACTTACTATTATCGAGAGTTCCATTTATTTATTTTATTATTTATATAATATTAATTACAATAATATATCTTACACATTGACCAATATTTTCGGTAAAAAGTCAACTATAGGCACTGGGGTCCATGTATTCAGTACGTAGGGGCTTGAACAGTTTTGGTTCGATTTTATATAAATGATCAGGATGAAGAGACGAGTTGAAATCCGGGTGACTGTCTGTCCGTCCGTCCGTCCGTGCAAGCTATAACTTGAGTAAACATTGAGATATCTTTATGAAACTTGGTAGACATGTTTCTCGGTACCGTGAGACGGATGGTATTGCAGATGGGCGTAATCGGATCACTGCCACGCCCACAAACGCCATTATTTAAAAACAAGTAAAATGCCATAACTAAGCTCCACAACAAGATACAAGACTCTTATTTGGTACACAGGATCACAATAGAGAGGGGCATCTGCAGTTAAAATTGTTTTTAATGTGGGCGTGGTCCCGCCCCTAATAGGTTTAATGTGCATATCTCCTAAACCGCTAATGCTATAATAACAAAATTCACTGGAAGCAAATGTTTTTAGCACTTCTATTGACGGTGTGAAAATAGGTGAAATCGGGTGGCAACTCCGCCCACTCCCCATATAACGGTACTGTTAAAAACTACTAAAAGCGCGATAAATCAAGCACTTAACACGCCAGAGACATTAAATTTTATCTCTGCGATGGTATGAGATGACTTTATAGGAACCACGTTCAAAATTAGACAATGTGCATGGCACAGCCCACTTTTAGGTGAAAACCCATATCTTGGGATCTGCTTAACCGATTTCAACCAAATTCCGTGCATAACGTTCTTTTCATATTTCTATGTTAACGGTTGTTTGTATCACCTAAAACTAATTGAGTTAGATATAGGGTTATATATACATACATAAATGATCAGGATATGGAGACGAGTTGAAATCCATGTGACTGTCTGTCCGTCCGTCCGTCTGTCTGTGCAAGCTGCAACTTGAGTAAAAATTGAGATATCTTTATGAAACTTGGTACACATGTTTCTTGATACCGTAAGACGGTTGGTATTGCAGATGGGTGTAATCGGACCACTGCCACTCCCACAAAACGTCATTAACCAAAAACCAATAAATTGCCATAACTAAGCTCCACAACAAGATACAAGATTCTTATTTGGTATACTGGATAACATTAGGGAGGGGCATCTGCAGTTTAAATTTTGTTAACAAGTGGGCGCGGTCCCGTCCTCTAATAGGTCTAAAAAAAATTCACTGGGAACAAATGTTTTTAGCATCTCTATCGACAGTGTGAAAATCGGTGAAATCGGGAAACAATCCCGCCCACTCCCCATATAACGGTACTGTTAAAAACTACTAAAAGCGCGATAAATCAAGTACCAAACAAGCCAGAGACATTAAATTTTTATCTCTGGGATGGTATGAGATGACTTTATAGGAACGATGTTCAAAATTTAGTCAGTGGGCGTGGCACCGCCCACTTTTAGATGAAACCCCATATCTTGGGATCTGCTTAACCGATTTCAACCGAATTGGGTACATAATATTCTTTTCATATTTCTATATTATAGTACGAAAATGGGCGAAATCGGGCTACAACCAAGCCTATTTCCTATATAACACCATTTTCAATTCCATCTGATTCTTTCACTTTCCACTTTGCATATCAAGCAACAATGATTATATCGGAGTAAAACTTAGCGTGAATAATACTTTTAAAGTATGCCACCTTGTGACCAAAAATTGTCTAAATCGAACCAAAACTGTTCAAGCCCCTAGGTACTGAATATGTGGCCCACAGTGCCTATAGTTGACCTTCTACCGAAAATAACGGTCAATCCACAAAGAAATCTCAAACGTGTATACCATTTGACTTTGCGAGAATATAAAATGTTCGGTTACATCCGAACTTAGCCCTTCCTTACTTGTGCTCAGTTAATTTTTGTTTACTTTAGCGGTTTAGGAGATATGCACATTAAACCTATTAGGGGTGGGGACCACGTCCACAGATGCAGATGCCCCCCTCTCTAATGTGATTCTGTATACCAACTAACAGTATTGTATCATATTGTGGAGCTTAGTTATGGCAATTTATTGGTTTTTGACTAATGGCGTTTTGTGGGAGTGGCAGTGGTCCGATTACGCCCATCTGCAATACCAACCGTCTTACGGTATCAAGAAACATGTGTACTAAGTTTCATAAAGATATCTCAATTTTTACTCAAGTTACAGCTTGCACAGACGGACGGACAGACAGTCACCCGGATTTCAACTCGTCTCTTCATCCTGATTTATATATGTATATATAACCCTATATCTAACTCAATTAGTTTTAGGTGATACAAACAACCGTTAGGTGAACAAAACTATTATACTCTGTAGCAACATGTTGCGAGAGTATAAATATACCAGACAACAATGTAAAAATGTTTCTTAGAGTTCTTGACTTTGTATAGCGCAAAAATATCTTTTTAGAAAAAATCGCATGAAATAGATAAAGACTAAGGGCTAAAGACCCTTTTATGTAGTAGTAGATAAACTGTGACCCCATCGATTTAAATGCTACTGTCTATTATTTCAGTTTTGCGACACATTTGAATATGAAGGTCATGAGGTGTGCTGTAAACTCAAGAAAATTACGTTTAAGTACTTTTTGGGATTTTCCCAGCGCCGTTGGTAGCTTATGAAAGGTTTAGATATAAAGCCAGAAAGAAAAAAATCTACATACCTGCTCAACATATGTGTATACCATACTTAATTATATGTAAGTTATTGTTGATTTAGCCTATATGAGTAGACATTTTAAAAATAGGTACCATAGATCCCCCTGCTTTAAAAAGCGTTAGACAAAAGCAATTTACGGAGGGGTTTTCCGAGCACTTAATTTCAATACAATGAAATAAACTATTAATTTCTTAAATATAAATATAACTAAATATTATGTATTATTATGTTAGTTAATATCTAAGTAATATATAGGTATACAAAAGTACGTAAGCTGTGTGTACAAAAATATACCATAACAAAACTACAAGTATTGTACTCTGTAGCAACATGTTGCAAGAGTATAATAGATATCAGTACATTGTGTTTGTAGTTTCAGTTACACTAGATTTCTTGGCCAGCCAAGCCAGCTTTCTTTAAAAAAAAATGTCGGTGTATTACTTATATAGTGTTTAAACTGTGCACACATTTACTCCAGTATATGCAACCAAAGTACCTATACACCGATCAGGATGGAGAAGTGGTAAATACAGTTTATATTGAACAAGGCGGCAAGATCCACAAATTCGCTCTGAAGAGAAAATAAGGTCAGAGATCTCGTCAAGAAAATCCCGAGATACGTTATGATGAGTATAGGAATTTAGAGCGCATTCGTGATCAAATGCAAAGAGAACATGCAAGAAGAAATCCTGAAATAAGGACATAGAAGCGTGATAGAGAAACACAACGTCGACAGCTTAGTAGGAGGGGTATGAGGGAAGAAAATTTTAATCAGAGACGTCTTAGACAAAGTCAAGTTTGCCTTCATAGAGATAACCCAATCATAGGAAAATTGAAAACGAAAGGCAGTCTGAACGAATCCGATTGATGGAGAAAGTAATGTTATAGAAACTGATTAAGTGGCAATTTAACAGATTTCAAAAACATTTATTTCCAAAATTAAAGAAGGGCCCTACTGAAATATGTATTTGCTGCGGCGGATTATGGTTTTCACACCAAGTTCGCAAGTTAAGTTTCGAAACTATTGCGCAAGGTCATCCGAATGCTGCACCTGCTTTCTTTTTAATGCAAAAATTACCTTTGGAAGATGGAAATCACAATTTTTGTGCTACTTGCAGAAATGCGATTGTTAACGTCTCATAATGCGTAGATTGCCTTATATGACAATCCGTCCGTTAGAATATCAAGGTCAGAGTTTGCTCAAAGATACTTTTGTTTATAAACCGATTTCTGTTAACAATATTTTGACATCTCTACCAAGGTCCTTTGATGAGGCTCATGTGATACAAATTCACTTGAGAAGGCGTGTGGAATACAATCATGATTACATGATCAATACCATACGCCCCGCAAATATTATGGAAGCTTTGCAATTCTTGAATACCCCTCTGTATTGTGAGTACAATATATGTACATATTAATGAGAACTGGATTTCAGAATTTAATAACCAAGAAGAAGTTCCGTTTGTTGCATCTGCAGAGGATTTCCGATTCGTTCAATCTTTTCACACGGAACAAACTTCTCATGATAATGCCTTAGGTAATAATATTCCCACCGGTCTTTTACCTTCAGAGCTAAATCCAGGCGGTCAAGAAACTCTTTTGAACAATATTCCTGTAGAAAACTTGGACTATAGCCGTTTAGTTATACCGACAGGTGAAGGACAAAGACCAATTTACATAATTAAGAAGAGTTGTCATTTGAACAATATACGTTGATCAGAAACGTGCATGCTCTGAAACATATAGCAAGATAATACGTTCTGAAATTCACCGTTTTAACAAAAGAGCGTGTACCATTCCAAAAGAACAAAAACAACAATCGCTTTGATTCGCCAATTCGGGCTTCCAACCATCTTTATTATTTTAGCGG